GTTTCAACGTTATAAGAGACTGCACGAGCACGTGTATTCATGTGCATTCTCCTTCCTTGCTAGTGAAACACGGTGAAACACAAACTATTACTACCCATAATACTTTTTGGCATTGTCGCGCACGCGTTTACCGTTTTGCGGGACAATGATCTTAGTCGAAACAACTGTAAAAGAATCTTGTAAATTGTGCAGATTTCCTACCTTTCGCCGTAAGCACATCGACGACGTAGAGGTATGAATCGTAACTTAAGTTGATTCCGAATTGAAGAAGGATTGGAAAACCCCTAGCTACGCTAAGTCCAGAGTGCTCTATCACTACATCAAAATTCCCTCTCTGATCTTTCCTGCACTTGTACCCAGTAAAATTAAGCCCTGGGTTTACAAGTGGTTGGCACACGCCTTCAGAGCGGAAAAGGACGCATCCCCGAAGACCTAACGGCAGTTAGTCGGGACAGAGCCAATCAAACCTGCGGCAAAAAATATAGTGGCAAAAGTTTCCAAGAACTGCTGCTGGATTTTTTTTTTGCTGGAATATTCTTGTTATGTTATCCATTTTGCCTTTTTGTGTACAGGCCTATAATTGCGAGATCAACAACATTGAAAAGGAATATGACTACGAAGACTTAACTGATTCTTCGTGTTGTCACACATACTTTACTACTTCAGCATAACAAGTAACAAACAATTTGTGCGTTATTTTCAATCTAGAATTTGAAATCTCTACCTAAAGTACCACAAAATTATGTGGTCCGCAAAAAAAAATTGAAAAATAGATCAAAATTGCTATTATATATTATTACATTCATATCGTATTTATCTCCGTTTTAATATCTGCGGTTTATGTGATCAGGAAGTAAACGTTTAAAAGTTCTTATGTTTGTTCTGGACTACTCTAAAACCGACGAAACATCACAGCCCTTTTATGTCCCAAGCTCTGCAAAGAAGTCTGTCTTTATTACGTTATTCATTTGCTTGCTCTTTTTTATGTGTGAATAAATTATTGAAAATACCAACAGTCGAATGTTTACATTTGGCTCCTCTTTTTATCCAATGCGTTTTCTTCCCTCCAAATATTCGACGAACTTAGCAGTACGTTTGTTTTGTTATAAAATTGCTCAAATGACCAACATTTTCAGTGCATGTATGGGTGAGTTACAACTTTGCTATTGTTAGGATAAAATTGCATGTTTTATGTGGTATCAATAACTTATTGGAAATGTGGCCAAAGATGGATCACACGTCTGCATGAATGACGTCATCGCGTAACTCTTGAGATTAAAATCTCACTTCTCGTAATAATATCAATACATAATCATTTGAAAAAAGGAATTGTTTGGATAAAGTAAAATTCTACCAACTAGTACTACGAGAAATGTATGGAGATTAAGGAGAAACTATATGTTGACAATGGTTCAAGTGACTAAAATGTATTTCTAAAGCTCTAACATAAATTTCAAAATCCCCCCAAGCTCCTGACAAGGCTTCCAAATGTATTTCTAAAGCTCCTAAAATAAATCTCAAGATCGCCCTAAGTTCTTTCAAAACACAGGGTCGAAAATTTTTTCTTAAAGCTTTTAAAATAACTTTCAATTTCGTGCTAATTTCTTGAAAAAACAAAGGCTTTTCATATTTATTTCTAAAGCTCCTAGAGAAAATTTCAAAATCGTCCTAGTTCAAGGCCTCAGATTTTAGAAGTATCTGCTTGCTCACTCTATTCTACCCTCGCTCGAAGGACGTCGGAGACTGGACACTAAAGCTGATGACTTAGCTCTACATGATTGGTTGTTGCTTCATTTTGAATTTTCGCGCGCAAATAACAACCAATCAGAGAGGTCACACGGATCTCTGTAAAGCTACGTCATTAGTCTGGAATTTTTCGGGTTCAGTCTCTCGATCAAGCGGAAGAAGAATCGAGCCTGCCAACTGAGAGACCTGTGTTTTCTCAGGTTAGGAAGTTCCCTGAACGTTAAGCGGACTCTTGCATCATCTTGTAGTTGTGTAAACTCCCACAGGCCGCAAAGTGTTGTGGTTTCTCCTCATCACTTCTTGACGGCGGGTCACCGACATCATTAGTATGATCCAGGCTTCCACTTGGTGCTCCGTAACCACCACCGCCTGGAGTTTGGACACGATAACAGTCCTGTCGGGAAGAAACAGTGACGTCCATTAGGTAACATGTAGATGGACTACACAAATGAAATCAGTTACTTACCCCGGGTTTCATGTGAACCGATGCCTTGCCTCCCAAATTGATTATTCGACCATCCGACTTCAAGAGCAAACTTAACCCTGCAGATCCCGGTTCACCGCCTTAAGAAAAATTCATATGATTAATTATTAAACATGATTATGAGTGACAACACATTTTATCACAGAGACGTACGATCATCAATATTTACGGGCTCATTTGCTGGCGAACACTGAAGAAGGATATAACGGGAAATATTTACGTTTTTTCGCAAATCGTCTTGCTACACTTCAACAGTTTCTGATTCTTATCAGCGACCTAAGTAGCTTTTAACCATAAGTAGAGCTTAAGAAGAGTAATTCGGGAGAATGACAAAACGCACGCAATAAAGAGTTCAGTCAGTCAGCCTCGGCGAAAAAAAAAAACGCTTTTTAGCAAAATTTGCGATGTTACATTTGTTTTTCGTATCATGAAGAAGGCAGTAATGCTGAAATGTCGGTCATTGGTTCGACTTACTCCTATTCAAGGTTTACGTCAAGACGCTACGCAGTTTATACTGAACAAATTAAAAAAAAATTCGCTGTCGTTTTCCCTCGAGGCCAGTCACCATGTGCTTGCTGTGGAGAAACCACGTGACGAACACCCGACGACTCCCCGACGACCACCTGACGACTACCAGACGACCAACTGACGAATACCCAACGACCACCCTTACTTACTTTCCGTCTCGCGTATTGAGTGAATTCATACTGTCCGCATATTTAAACAGAAACGATGCCGAGATATTACGTGATGAAAATTCGCCCAGTGATGTACCTTTGAGTCCGTAAGGCCTGAAGGCTCTTCTCTCACCGAGAACGGAAAGCACCTGAGATCTCCGGAACAACAACTCGCGCACTACACCGTCACCACCCCGATGAAAACCATTACCACCAGTGCCAGGGTTGAGATGAAAACGGCGCAGAATCACTGGAAACCTAGCACCAGATAGAAAAACTGTAAGTCTCGTGTCCAGCGCTACTATTCCACATACCTTGTGAACAAATCTAAGGCAAACTATGATGAGGATGTTTGTAAACCAATTTCACCCGTCCTTACTGGTCCGTTACTTCAACTCTACAACGACAATTTATTCATTTACTACAATTTAATGGCTGATATGTGAAAGAAAGAAAGAGAATGATAAACGGATAATAAAATGACAATAGAATTCAGCAAAAATCCATAAGGATGGTCCGTAAAAAGGTGAAAACCCCATACAGGACAGACCACTTATATTAAATGTAAAATCTATACCTCATCAAGATCACAATGTCCTTAGAAAATTTCTCACACAAGTCTTAAAAGCGCACACATTCGGTGACACGCGAACCTCTAAAGGTATTGAATTCAGCATATTAACGCTTCTATTAAAATAACTACATTAAATTTAGTCGATCTCGTAACCATCATTTTACATTAGTTTAAAATCTAATCAGCTCTACCGCACTACATATGGTTCGTTTTGACATGTAGTCCATGTGCTCAGAGTCTTAGGAGGGCGTTGGTGAATCTTGGCGAACAAGCGATCGTTAAGTTATTATTTATTTTTGCTTCGATTGCTACGTCGAATATAAGTTTATTCGCTTGCGGAAATATTCATCGGGTTTACGAACGTTTTGGTGACGTGTCAAGAGGAAGACTATGTGTTTTTATGAGCTTATTGGCGAGGTTATGAGACCAAGTGTTCTCTCGATAGCATTCAAATTACTCTCGGTAATTTTTGGTTTAACATCTAAGTAACTCCAGCGTACTACATCATTCCAGAAGTTTTCTTAGGTCAGTATAGACTCAATGTTAAAACCTCAAACTGGAAAAACCTTTCTTTGCATAACGTTCTGCTACTTTCAGTCCGTTAATAATAGCTATCTTTTCCAACAACATTGAAGAAAATCAACCAGAGCACAAGTGCATTCTCACGCATCTCCCGGCCAATGCACAATCACTAGCAAAAACAGACTCTGAAGAATCAGTGAACTCACCTTCGTTCAATGATCTCTGGATCTGTTATCCTCGTGTTTGTCATGTGCACATGAACTCCACTACGACCGTCCCACGTGGGACCCTGTAAAGAAAACGCAAACATGAGACAAAATGAACAATTTGACGTCCCTGTCCTTAGACGCGATCATCTCAGCTGAGATAAGTTCTTCTAATGTTGGCTTATGCAGTCATTGTTTTGTTTTGTTTTATTATTTCCTCCATTTATTATTACATTACAAAGTTATTATTATATCACAAGGTATCTTTCTTCATGCAGTCATTTGTATTAAACGATTATGTCGTGGTGAAATGACTCACCGCACCAGATCCCCCGCAGATTGTCTCGTAGTAGCCACATCCCTCATCACCAAAGGTCGTGTTGTTCATGCAGCCCTGTTATACAGGCGAAGGAATTCAATTAGAACGGAAATAAATAAAAATCAAACTTACCGCCCCAGCTCCGCCACTGATTGTCTCAATATACTGGCATAAGGCATCTCCAAACGCTGTTATGTTCATACAACCCTGCACAAGACGACAGTCCATTGTCAATAGTTAATTTTGTTATTCACGGTGCGAGTAGCCTGGAAATGAAGGCTAACTGTGCAGGACATTTCAAGTGCAAATAACACGACACTGGTGTTTACAATTTACAGAACTCGTGTAGCTTACGTGTGGCCGAACCTCCCCCCCCCCCCCCNCCCACCAGAGGAAAAAACGGAAGGGCCCCTGCAGTTTTAATCGGGGGTTTCGAGTAGGCTAAACACGTGACGCCTTGCAAGACACTTAGCTCACCTGCGAGGCAGCGCATACTTCAAAGGCTTTCAACACCACGTCGACGACTCGTTGACTGGTCAACACATTCCCGCCAACAACCGCCGCGCATTCCGTCGGGTCGAGCACACTTCCGGGGGGGATTACCACCTTCACTGGCGCTAAACAGCCCTGGTGGCGGAAAATAGATTGTAGACGTGCTGAGACTGAACGCATAGTTGCATTAACCGTTTTCCATACATTTGTCTGTGCTTCAAAGCCCAGAGAAATGAAGTACAAAATGTGTTTTCTTTCCCTCTTCGAAGCTGTTTATACAAAAGGGGAACCATCTAGCAAAACAATGTTTCTTCCTTGTGGCCCGGGATTTGATTTTAAATTACACCTGTTCACTTGAAGCTTTACCAGCAATACTAACTGATTGTCATTGTCGGGATCAAGTCTGGAGCTAAATAATGCAGCTCATAATTACCTGGTTCAGCGGTATGGAGTGTTTGACCATGCACCGCAGACAGTAGATGATGGCAGAGAAAGTGATAGCACGAGGTGCATTACAATTGCCGTACATTTCGGGCCCAGTTCCCGTAAAATCGAACACTGCACTGCCCTGCAAAGAAAAGTTATTTTAAACTTGTTAGAAACCACACTTTCTTGAAATGAGCGATGTTCTCGTCAAGTACAAACAAGTGCACCAAAGTCTGATGACCGAACGAGGCATGTGGATTTTCAAAGGTGCTTAGATTTCAAGGATCGTTCATCACGAAAACTGAAGATCTGGATTCCCCAAGTTCATCGTTTCCAATCTCTCTCCACTTTCCCAAGTTCGTTCATTCTATAATAATTATATCATTAACGAGTACACTTTTTTATTTGAAATTTCCGTCGTTTCGGATGAACATCGAAAACCAACCAGCAGCTAGGCTCGCCAACTGGACTAACCTTTATTACGAAAATTTAAATTGCTGTGTACTGTAGTGGGCCCCGACATTTGGCGCTATTTTACAACTGTGGTTTCACCTAATCACGTGACGACTACAAACCTCCTTCTCATCAATGGATATCGTGAGTTTGATACACGAGCCATCATCCATGTGATCTACAGAGGACAAGATTGTTTTTCCAGTGCGTTCCTACAAACATGACAGACACACGCGTAAGCAACACAACCGGATTGAAAAGCAATTGCTCTTTGAACTGATGTGCCTTCACCCTTTTCAGTTTATAGGGATTTCGAACAGAAGTCTCGGAGGTTTCTAGAAAACCCGTCGTAATCTAGTGATGACGTGCTGAAATTACATCTTGGAAGGTCCTCGAGTATAGTGTAGCTGATGTTTCTATATGTAGGACGAAACCTGCCGAAACAAAACCTTTTTTCGCCACTGTTTACGGGAGAAATTCCATTAAGTCTTTATACTAAACCTGCCACGACAGTGTTCAGAAGGACACACAGTTTTAATTGATGAAATGTTGTTTATTCATAATAAGAGGGAAACAATGCAAGTAATTTCAGAAAAAAATGTCTTCTCACCTTAGTTTTTTCAGCAATTTCTTTCAGCATTTCTCGAACAGCAACTTCAGCATTGTGCTTAAATGAAAAAAAAAAATGAAATGGTAATTTTATCAAAGATTAAAACTAACTACATCTTCTAGCTCACCTTCAACTTTGTGGACATAAAAGAACAGACTAGGAAAGAACTTATAATAACGGTTATGATGATCGTACCTGAATATACGTCATGTAAGCCTGCACCACTGGTAGACTGTACTCCTCTATTAAGCCGCTAATGAGCTTGATTCCCTGGGAAGCAAATACCAAGGAAAACATGATTTTCATTAAAAGGGCTTTACAAACCGTCAAGCAGTGCTCTCTGCTTCTCCTCTCGCTCCTCCCTCACTCACTCATGCCCATTAACGTGATAAAAACGTGACGCTAAAAACAGGTTTATGAACTCGAACAAAAAAGCCTCTGTGGACATAGAAACGCGGCCACAAAAGGGGCGAAACCAGTTTATTTTTTCATTAAAGATGGTTGCAAAAAGGCACTTACTAAAATTATCAGTTGAGTAAGACGCGACGGAGCTTTGGTGACGAAGTTTTGGACTAAAATCACCGGCGGTGTTGCCATGAGCAACTTTCCTCGTTTCCAATGGTAACAATATCGTCGCCTGCAATGTCGTGCGCTTCGTTTCCAATGACGTCAAAAGTCGACAAATTGCCACTGAAAACGGAGACAGTTACCCCTGACAGCAACACAAGTTGAACGTTAAAACCTGATCACAAAACATTCGTCGCGCGTTACTCAACTGATTATCATAGTAATACATGATTAATACACACGGGATGTTTGAGTGTACCTTATGATTAGCTGCCACCTGGGCTTTGAGATCAGAGAGGTTGTCATGGAGATTACGAGTGCCACTACATCCGGGATACTTGCTGGGATCCATCAATTTTTCAATCAGTGCTGTAAAATGACAGAATTAATAGAAAACACAAATAAACTGACTGGCAAGAGGAAACCCGCGTTCAGTCTCAAAAATCTTCAAAATTGAGGCACGTGAACTTGATGAGTTCTTCGTTCGGTTTAACTACAATTTATTAACCAGCTTACTTGTAGGATAAATAACAAGTGCCTACAGACTTCAAAGCAAGTTTTTTTTAGAGTCAGGATTACCATGCAAATGAACTGGCAATGTACTATTTACCTTCTTCCTGGAAGACACCTTCTTTTACAATTTTGAATGACTTGAACACGGCACCTTCTTCAAATATGGAATGCGAATCAGGTGGCATAGAGCCTAAAAACGAGAACAATATAGAATGAATGAATGTGACTTCGAACTTTCACAGGCAACATTGACCAACACTAAGCAATCACCTTCAGGTCTTAGAGCGATTTTCAGTTGAGTGTCGTAAAACCAAAACCAAAGTAATCACTCTGGCTTATCCAAGCGGACGGACAATCCAATGAACCAATCAAAACTTACAGCAAATCCATCACGGTAGCTGGTGCGAAGCGCGGGAAACGTTTTTGGTTTTACTTCAGATTGGTTTAGAAAGTGGCGCGGGTAAATCAATCACTGACCGTAGTAAGGGAAACCAAAGCAAATGCGAATCACTTTAGGCACGCAAGTGAAGAAAAAACCGCTCTACCCAGGCTTTCGCGAGTAACTGTAAGTATTATAGAACTAACAGAAGAGGTAAAAGTGATATCTCCTTTTCTCGTCTTCCGTCTTAGAAAGAAAAAAAAACTTCCCTGGACAAACATTTTTCAAACAAATGAGCGAAAGTTTACTGCAAATACGGGTACATCACCACTGTTTGGTAGAATGATTCAAATACCTTCATGTTTTACGCCTGCACATATTCAAGGGTTCATAGGTAAATAGTTTATACAAACTAAACTTTGCAATGATTAAAAGACACTATACCTGGCGCAGAACCTCCAATGTCAGCGTGGTGACCTCGGCTGGCAACAAAGAACACGGGCTTTGGTTGGCCAGGATAGAATACCTGAAAACGGAAGAAAAACGTGAGTTGAACTTCGTTCACTTTAAGCCCCGAGTCAATTACAAAGTAAAATGCTTTCGCGTCGAAGCGTTGCGGCAACATTCTACGCCTAACTTTTAAGAGGCTTCATAGCAACCACTGTTGTTGCACGCAAGTTTGATGTAAACTTGTACCATGCAACAAGCCTGTTTCCAAACCAATTTCTGAATCTGAAGCTTCAATGAACACTGACGGCATACTTTAACCGGCTTACAACTGAATGAATTATTTTCCTTACCGGGGTGATGACAGTCAGATCTGGAAGATGTGTTCCCCCGGCACTCGGGTGGTTACTAAGTATGACGTCACCTTCCTTCAGATCATCTCCTAATGTGCGAATCTGAGAAAAATGTCACGCCATGAAGAGTCTCGATAAAACTAACACTGATAAAATGAAAGAACACGTTCATATAAAATGTAAGTAGAGAATATTTGTTCTACCTGGTATTGTACAGTTTCCTGCATGGAGCCGAGGTGGACTGGGATATGGGGAGCATTGGCAACCAGGCCCCCATCAGGACCGAACATAGCACAAGAAAAGTCAAGCCGCTCCTGTAAAGAGTGACAAAATGTGACTTGAATCAATAGAGTGTAAAGTGAAAGACGAACCCAGCAATTGCGTGCGTTTTATCACTCACTATATTTCGTGATACGAAAATTATGTGAAGTTGTGCGTGAGGAGATTACTAATACATGTGCATAACGCAAAGTAACTGTCGTAACGGTTTCAAACAACGAAATCTTCCAGGCCATGCAAGGCGAACTCCCAAAAATAGAGAGGATATTTGGATAGCTACGACATCAAAAAAATTCAAGTGTACTTCCGCTTCTACGAAAAGAAATATTAAAGCTTACCTTGATGTTTGTCGAAATTGATGTGCGCTGAAGAACTCTGTGGAGTAAAGCCAAACAACAACAACAACAAATGAAAACTGGCTGTCTTTAAATAATACGTACATAAAATTCCTCCTAATATGTATTAACTCACCGGCCCATCTGTTCAGCAGTGCTCATGAAACGATGAGAAAATATTGATAGCTGAGAAGAAAAAGAGAAAAACACTGAAACTAAATAGGAAACTACGAGAGCCAGCCATTTCAGTCAAGGAATACAAGTGGAGTTCACTGGCAAATGTAGAAAAGACCACGAGATTTTGATTAATATCTAATCAAAAGATGCCTTGGGTGTACAGTTTGCAAGAACACAGCCGTAGATAGTTGTCAAAAAACATGCAGACAATTTGACTACACTGCTCTCCCTCAAATTAGCCATTTAGAGACATTATAATCAATACCTGAATGGCATCTAATTCAGTTCCAATGCTCTTTTTGCCTTGGTTCCCTCCAATCTGAAAAAAAAAAAAACAACAACAACAACAACAACAGCAACGATAAACATACGGTCCAGTGGAACATATCTGTGATGGCTTCTTTATAGCATAGTGACGTTTTAACCCCAGGGTTTTACCATGACATACCGTGATATAACATGGGTTTGAACTGAGTATTCATAAAAACACTGTACCAAAACTAAAAAGCGTGGAGTAGCAACTAAAAAAGGCAGCAATTGAGACCGTTACATACACTACACCAACAAAGAAAAGTTCAAAAAGGAGAGGAAGACAAACCTCAATTCTGATATCTCCTGATGTGGTGATGGAAGCTTTGCACTGCGGTTCAACAAGCATAGTGCTGGCAAAACAAAATCGCACTTCATAATCACAAATAAACTAGGTTCACCGTTCCGCATAAAATGATAAGCGTGAAAAAAAAAAAAAAATAGTTGTATGGCACCCGCAGGTAAATGGCAACATAAAAAAGATCAACATAATCCAGGGATAAACGGCTGACCAACTGGTTACTCGGTACCACAAGACTTCAGTAAACTCGTCCCACAACCACTAACCACTTAAATAATACGGACTTTCGCGCTCAAAATGTTTTCAACAACAGAATTTTTTAAATTTGCCATGCAGTTAGGCGACAATCTCATTCCCAGGGTCTCTCCCTCCCTCCCGGAGCTGAGAGAGACCCTGGGAACGAGGTTGTCAAGCAAAGATCAACTTTTGCCAAAAAGTACAACAATGGGCGTCATCGTGCTCGTTTTAGAAAAAAGGCGCATTGAAGACCATACGTGTTTAGAAGCTTTCAATATTTTAAGACGACTACATAACGTCGACTGACACGCCACAGACCTGTTTTTGTCAACAATAATAGCCGGTCCATCTATCGTGTGACCAGCGGACAACTCCTCAAGCAGGTAAATCTTCGTGTCGTGGAAACCATCTTCAAAGTAACACTTTGTTGTCTGGATTGTTAGAAAGAAAATAACAACAAACAACTCGAATAAAAATAATTAGACTTACGGACTGCCGGCATTTGGAAATTTTTAATTAAACCGAGTAACATAAAAATACTTTTTGCTTCTCATATACCCATTTCATTTTCATGCACGAGTACTGGACATAGAAAACGGCATAAATTCAGAGTGAAAGAGTGGGGAGTTAAACGAAGAATAAGTACGATATAAAGAGAAGTTACCAAAACGGCCAAAAACATGTTTTTTATAATACCTTCTTCACCGGGGCAGGGGTGGTGGCTTTTGGCACTTCGTGTGCTACAGACGTCTTCGAGTGCCCAGTCCCTCTCACTCTGATGTCATCAATCAGGATTTGGCGATTGGGAATGGTGAAACCAAACTCTCGCACGTATCTAACGACAGAAGACAATTGAGAGAATAAAAAAGTGATGACATTAGCTGCGCTGGAGTGGTTAAAAGTTACTTACCTTTCGTTAAAAGCTTGTCCAAAATCACCATGCCGGCAACCTTCTCCTGACTAAAATTGGAACAAAACAACGAAACGAAACAATTAAACAGAACGAAAAGTTATTTTCAAAAATTATGCGTGGACACAATGGACCTAACCAGGCTTTTTTAAGGTTCAGTTTTTACTGTAATCGACATTTTTTCTCTGGATATCATAAAACTTTCTCCATGAATAAACAGTAGCCTCCTTTTGCGCCAAAATATGCCCGCGGACATGATCTGTTCCGAGAAGCGAACAGTTTGCGAGAGCGAAGCTCAAGGAAAACTGTGAGCTTTGAGGAACAAATAATGTACAAGGACAAATATTTGAACATATTTTCGCACCAAATAGAGGCTATCGCGTTTATTATCCTTCAAATACTTTTCGCAACACGTGCAGTTTTGAAAATTCGGGAATATCACTTAGATATTCCCCAGTTTTAGCTGGGGCATATTCAGCCACGTGACGCGTTTAGACCAATCGGGTGCGAACAAAAATATTTGATGGCTTATAAATAAACAATAGCCTCCATTTGGCGCGAAAATATGCTCGGATATTTGTCCGCGGACATTATTTGTTCCGAGTGAACAGTTTTCCGAGAGCGTAGCTCGAGGAAAACTGTGAGCTTCGAGGAACAGTTAATGTTCAAGGACAAATATCCGAGCATATTTTCGCTCAAAATGGAGGCTTTTGTGTTTATTATTCTTGAAATCTTTTTCATAACGCGAGCAGGTCTGAAATTTGGGGAATATTCTTGGATATTCCCCAGTTTTAGCTGGGAAATATTCGGTCACGTGACCCGTTTAAACCAATCGCGGGCGAGCGAAAATATTTGATGGATTATGACTTGGAATACGTCAGATGAGAACTTCACCTGAAAATTCCTAACTCACCACTTTGTGCAAATGAAGCGCGAAACTTTCTTAATTACGCACTTAGCACCTCGCGGATCATGACAGGTCGTCAAGAAACACTAAAGAAGACTCAAAAAGAATGTTGGGAAAACTAGTTAAATTACAATCAACTTTAACGCAACAGGAAAATAGTGATTTACCTTTTCTTCTTTCTGAGGGACAGCAGTGCACATTAGAGCGCAGTCCGTACCGCTATACCGCATGTGAAGGAATGCTTCAGTGGAGATTTGACTCCTGAAAATATTAAGCCCAACAACATAACTAGATAATCTAGGACATAAGCACCCTATTCCGTCCAAACAAAAAAAAAACAAATAAACCTGGTCCCAGTTGTTCGACGGCTGGATAACGCTATCAACTGGATAAATCACTATCCAGCGGATAAGGGTTAACAAATCAAACCACGCTATCCACTGAATAGTGATTCATCCTGTGGATAGCGCTATCCACCTTTCGAACAACCCAAGCATTAACTTTAACATAGTTCCCTAAATTTGTGAGTTTTGAAACTCTTGGAATCACATAGAAGGAGTTCTGGAGGGTTTGTCTCTGTGTTTATATACACGTGATATTCTTATGCTTCACGAAAAAAAGCAATACTTACTCTTCGAAGCCTTGGCTTTTCAATTCCTCAATGCACTTTTGCATCAGAATATCAATTCTCTCATCCAGATAACTAAATGACTCTGAAAGCGAACAAACAAAAACGGAAATTTATACCGCGTTCAAAACCAACATACTTTGCCTCAAGATACCAGAAAAGTTTAAATATGTTACGATACTTTAATCAAAAACGTCGATTTCTATAAATATGGCCACAGGAGCACAGGGCAAAAGACTGTCTAACCACAGGAATCCTACCTTTACTATACGCACGAGCACAGGGTTCCTGTGCTTCGTGTACCACATCTGCTAGTGCCAGTCCATACGCTGATAGGATACCTGCAAAACTGAGAAGAAAGTAAACATCTTGTCATATTGGTCGGTGTCAATTCAAAGGAAACTGCTATTGAGCAGTACTTTAATCTGATACTGTTCATTTTGTTGTACAAGGTGGATCTAACTTTTAAGTCTGTGGATGAAACCCTAGTGTGTGACCATTTAAATGAAAGCTATTGATGGATACTTTCACGTGGTACTGTTTGTCATGCCTTGCAGGACAGCTCTAACGTTCCGGCAATGCCTGGATAAAACCCGAGTGTGTGACCATTCTGATTTATATGACTGTTGCTTCTTATATTATATCCATCTGAAATCAGTGATTCGTGCGAGATCTTAGGATGGGTAAGCCATTTTAACTCACCGATGAATAAACACGGTAGACATTCCTAACGACCTAGCAATGGAGCAAGCATGCTGACCGCCAGCGCCGCCAAAACATGACAGCACGTGACGGGCAGTGTCGTGACCTCTTGCCTCAGTCAGAGCTCTGATTGGTCGACACATGGTCTCGTTGGCAACCGTGATGAATCCCATGGCAACTTGCTCCACAGTCAAAGGACCCTTCTTTGCACCGTCTTCTTGAGACGACAGAAACTCATTGACCTGGTTTAAGAAAACGACGAAATAATTCAGAAATAGACTGAACCATTACTCTGCAGTATCTACAGATTTTACTGATAAAACCTCGAGGGAAATAACCTTGCTGGAAACGTGCAATAAATTCCCCTCAAACATTGTTACAGTCAGTGTACAGTGTGAAAACTAAACATGACTTTGCACAATCCAGTTAATTGGAAGTAAACCTATATCCTCGAACATCATCCGTTAACGCTTTTTCCTTGGTACCTTAAAGTTGTAGAGGGTGAAAGCTTCAGAATTCGCACATTCAAACATTATTGGAAGTGTTCTATGGACCCAAAACTGGTTTAGATCATGTCCATCATTTTTTTTTTCTCTAACCTGTTCTGTCAACTTCTTGAATGCTGACCATGAACCCTCTAAGTCTAACGGTAAATCTTCATTCTTTCCAAAGATTTTTGGGAAAAATCTGTTAAAAAAAGAAAGTGTAAGATTACAGTTTTTAAAACAATGAAAACTTTGAAATTTTCCAAAATTAAAATCTCTCAGTCTCTAACAAAATATTTAAACGTGCGTACTCAGGTAAAATTCTTCCAAGCACTAAATTTGCATCTGTTACGGCCAGTGGACCACCTATCAAAATAAAATCAAACGAAATTAATTATTTATCCCTCAACCTCGACGT